CGGCTGGGGGTGGGGAGTGTGGTGGAGAAATGGGGAACAATACAAGTGAGCAACTTCAGGAAGTCATTGTGAAAGAAAGCTGGGAAGAGCTCCCTGGCCAAGTTAGCCGGGCGCTCTAACAAGTGCTTGCGCGGCCCGCGCCCCGGGCGGCGACTGTGGCGACAGCCTCTCGGTGGCCCCGGAGCGCTGCCAGCCCGGGCAGGACGCTCGGCCGCGGCGAAGCGGGAGACCCAGGCGAGCCCAGCGGGCAGAGGGAGCCCGGGCTCCGAGGTAGTTCTTCGCCCCTGAGGATCATTCTTGGCCCCCAAAGCGCGACGCACAAATCCACGTGAGTGTTTTCAAATTGATTTTCAATAGGAAAACTTGGGGGTAACTGGTGCATCTTACAAACAAAAGGAAAGAAAAAGAAAAGGCAGGAAAGAAAAGACAAGGCGGTAAGATTTCGTAATCCCTGGTGTCGCCCAGGTCCGCCTGTCCTGTCTGAAGCCAGTGAGAGCGTTGACTTTTGTCAAAGGCTTACCACTTCAGGCTGTGCCGGCAGGTGCAGAACCAGGCCGGCGCGGGACACTTCTGAGTACTCCCGCTGTCACCACGAAGAGAATGTTCTAGTCGCGGTCACATTAAATTTTGTATAGACTTTCAAAGCGGTATCACAGAAGCCGGCTTTTACAGCCATTCGTAAAGAGCTTTCCTTATGTCTGAGGTGAGAGCTTTTCGCTTGTACTATAAAATAAGTAGAGTCCGAATTTGCTTTCTGCAAAGTAGGAGTTATCCCGCCTTTGAAAATGTAGTACTTTTGCTGACTCCTTTAGCTCTGGGGTCACGAAATCGTCTTAGAAAACCCCTCAGAAATAATAGGGCGTCCGGTCACTCGCGACTGTGTTTGAACTGTAGTTTACGAATTCCTCAGGCATCGCAGGTGATTTCTAAGGACTCTCCTGAGGGTGTGATTGTTTTTCTTTCCAATTTGGAGGCCCCAGAGTATCGCATGTGGTGGGAGAAGACAGCGGTTCCACAGGGTCTGCTCAGGCAGAGCTTTCAAATGCAGTTTCCATTCTGTCTGGAGCCTGGAGACCACCCAGAGTGAATTTCCATGGGTGTGCTTTGGCCCAGGTTACCAGGTTTGAATTTCCCACTTTGCTGCAGACACTGCATTTCAGTTTTGCAGTACCCTGTTTTCAACTTCCCGAGACAAAATGGTGTTGAAGAAATGCCTCCATACTAGTCAAATCAACTTCTGTTAAAATAAGAACATTGATGCCAGTTGAAAATACTTAATATGGATAAGTTATTTTTTTTTTTTTTTTTTTTGAGCTTCATAGAAATGTGAATGCTTTTAAGGGTCAGCTCACTTTGGTTTTGAGTTGGGGGGGAGAGAAATCTGTAGGGAAGTGTCCCCAACCCACTTACATTTATTTCTTTGTTTGAAAATGTTGGATGAGGTTAATTGGACTCCTCTTGTATGTGGGATGTTTTAAAGTAACAATTAAAGTATTATTTACATTAGACTATGACAGAATTGTTTCAGAAACAGATCAGATTCTTTGGGTTATGGTTTAAAATTTAAAACAGGGACATGTATTTGCGGCAGGAAGATGCTCCTGCTTTTGCTGGTATCTTGTATATGACATGGTAAAGAAACGCCCTGTACACATATATAAAAACAATGATGTCACATTTTACAAATGGTCCCATTCTGGTTTGCTGGAATGTATCTGATTTCAAAATTTCTCATGAATGTGTGTTTACATCGTTTTTATATGGGGGAAAAAGAGTGCTGTGTGTTAAATGGGCATGTTGCCTTCCCCCTTTGTTTCACGGTGATCGTTGAAGGCAGGAGTTTGGAAACTTCGCAGTACTTGTTGGCTTAATTCATCAGTGTTTTAATTAAAGGATTGCATCTTAGGAAACGGCACATCCTCCACAATTCAGTAAAGCAATGGTAGCCACCATCAGTGGTGACCTAGGAGGCCCCAGGGCTATGATGGAAGTGTGGCTGTCTTATGCTTGTTATGTTGGACCCTTTGAGAAGTTTGTAAGTCTCCTAACAAGAAGGTAAACTGTGACTCTGTTTCCCTCTTCCTTTGAATTTTGTGTGTTTCAAATTTTGTTAATGCAATAACATGTTGTCAATGTAAGTGTTAACACTTATGAAATTTGAGAAATGTGTATATATATATATATATATATATGCGTGTGTATACACATACATATTTCAGAGTTATGTGTGTATTAATCAATGGAGGAAATAAATAGATTGCATATGTATGTGCACATGTGTGCATACACACACACACAACGGGGAGTAGAGAGGCATGGTGGCAGTGTGGCAAAGAGTTCTAATTCAAACAGACCTCACCTGATTAAGAAAGCTGCTTCTTTTTTTTCTTTCCTTCCACATTTTACTAAAATGAAATTTCCCTACTCTAATGGTAAATTCAGGCAGAAACAGTGTTATTGAACAGCATTTGGAGCGTTGGCTTCATGTGTGCTCCTGTAACGTAACTGCAGTTAATCAAGATTCATCAAGGACAGCATTGCTTCCTCTGATCTTTGGGATTCTGAAAACAACTTAGCTATGAAATAAGTAATGGGTTGTGAGGTCGTATTCTGAGGGCTCACAGAAAGTAACCCAAGACCCCAGGTCTCTGGAAAGCTTTGCCTCTGACACCTCTGTAGCTGAGGATGACAAGCGTTTGGGGCGTTGTGATCTCTACTTCTAGTCGCAGGTTTGCTGCAGCTCCTGCCAACCAAGTATCGCTCCCTGTCGGCTGTCCTAATTTCATATATACTTTATATAATCACACTGTTTTGTGGGAGAAAACATGAGATGTAAAAGCAACAAGTGACCCATCTCTGAGGCTTACAAGAGAAGAAACCGGAATCTACTTCACATCTTGCAATAGATCGTTTTATTCTGCTCGAAAAGGTATATACACATTCTGGGTCTCAGTCTTAGGAATGTTGAGTTTCAGAGGCTCAGCGTTTCTGTCTGTCTGTCTCTCTCTCTCTCTCCTTCTCTCTCTCTCTCTCTCTCACACACACACACACACACAAATAAAAATTCGGATGAGGAAGGAGGGAAGACATGCCTTTGTTAGGGACTTAGGACAGCCCAAACCAAAGTATAGCAACAGTGACAGGGCTATTTTGACTGACTGAACACGCTTGCTGGGTTCTTCCTACAGACCATAGCTTTATTAGATTTCTTTGCAGCTTAATGCTTTCATACCTTAGATTACATCTCTCGGCATTTATGAAGGCTCTTCAAAAGGTTCATGGAAAATGCATTATTATGAAAAACCTATGCATGTGCTTCCAATTTTTGGGGGGTACCAAAATAAACTCATACTTTAATTCCATTTTTCCATCAACTCTTCATAGTCCTCTCAAAAACCTTGGGATCTATTCAGGTCCTTAGATTTTAGGTGCCCTCCCTTTAACTAGCTTTCGTTTCACATCTTTGCACGTGTGGTGGTACGCTGACATCTATTTTTAACACATTATGAAACAGTAAGGGTGAAGTCCTGCAGGCTACTAGTGAAATACACCAACAGACAGAAGGTTTGCAGACAGTGCGTAGGTAGAGAAGCAGGCACCTGCTCCTGTTTTGGTGTGTGCCTGGTGTTACTCCCGAGAAGGGCCCAGAAGGGAGCAACCGAGGTCAAGGCCTAATCTGCAGACAACTGCTAGATTGTTTCGGTTGGCTTTTTCCTTCTCCTGGTTGACTGTGATAAATAGATGGATCCTCGCGATGTCGTCAGCTGACCACCTGGTGAAAAACTGTTAAGAGTAGTGAAAACCCCAAGTCACAGGTGTGGGGCCATTTGTCTTCCCCAACACAAGCCTGGCCCTATTTCCTTTCTCCCATGGCCATGTCTGCCTTTGGGGAACTCAACAATTCCTGTTGACTAAAAGAGCACCCTTTCCACCACAAGCCTGACAAATCAGACGTCCAAATAATTTCTGAACTCTTTCTGGTTAGAACAGGAAGCCCAGACTCCCTTCCTGTCTGTGTTTTCCTGAGAGAAAACCATCCTCCCTCCTTCTTTGCATATTTGGCAAATGGTCCCACCTTTCTCTGCGCCCCAGTGAAGTGTGAAGGCTGCAGTGGGACCTCCAAGGAGGAGAAGGAGGAGGAGGACAGGAGGCCCTGCCACCCAAGCCCAAGGGCCCTGCTGCGGCTGAGTCGGAGGGGCCTCCAGGTGGCCTTGAGGCCTCAAAGCCTGGATCTGCGTGCACAGTGCAACCCTCGTGGCCTCGGAGGCCCACCCCAGTGGTGAGTGTGGCGCTGGCAAGGGTCGGCACAGCTGCTGTGGCCCCCTCTGCTGCACTCTGCTGAGGCTCTGTCTCCTGTGCCTCTGTGGGCAGGGGCTGTCTGGGGTGATGGAGAGCACTGTTATGCCCCAGCTGCATGCTCGGCTTTCCGCTGGCCCCTTGCTCCCTGGTTTGATAGCTCGTGCCACAGGCCCCCGGCTTAACGAATTGCCGAAAACAGGCCCTAATTAGGGGAAAGTGCTTTCTGCAGTTTCTCATTCGAGTGTGCAGTGATTCATATTTCTTCAGCCATCAAGTCAGTGCTAGAGGAAATCTGACTCTCTTCCCGTCATTTTGACAGCCCGTGTTAACTGTGATGGGTGGATGGTCAGGTACAACCAGAGAGGTAGACAGTAGGAAGGAGGGACCCAAGGTGCCTGGTCTGTCTGCCTCCCTCCCACCCTCCTTCCTTCCCTTTTCCCCCTTTCTCCTCTCTGCTTCCCTCCTTTCCTTCTGTCATTTGTAGAGTTGTTGCTGACTATTCAAACAACCAAGAACCACATGCGGGGTTTTGAGTGGCCTGACACATATTGAAATAGATTTTTATGTTGCATTTTTGAGAACACACACTACAACCTACCCTCCAAGGCATTTTCTGCTCCTTTCAAACTCTGAAATCGAACAACATGGTTTGCTAAAGCTAGGAGTTCCATGGTAAATAGTAGAGTATCATGTTTTGTTTCTTTTTTTAGTATTATCAGCTTTTCATTGGCAAACTTGGGGCAAGTAAAATTCCACACAAGATGCCTCCCTAGACCTAATGTGGAAAATGTCTAATTTAGAATCTTTAGGAGAAAGGAGAATGAGGAGTTGACCTTTTGTAAGCTTTCTTCTGAGGCACTCTGACATGTGCTCCCCCCGCTTTTAATGGAAACTAGAGAGAGCCAGCGACCCCCCAGTGGGAACCCCACTTTCAGCCTGAAAAAGTGACCTTTTCCTTCTTCTTTGTGCTGAGTTTTACACAGGGCAGAAAACTAAAGTGATAGTCAAAGTGATTCAGTGTGAAAACTT